AGCGACTGCGAAATCGGAGTGCCGGAAGAGCCATTAATCGAAGACTCTTTTGTATTTGACGTCTACCTTATGCAGGGCGGTCAGGCACCTTTATTTGTTTATAATTAAACGATGGACCTTCAAGGCGCTGCTTGTCAGCTGCAACTTTTTTATTCGTTTGTGCTCAAAATATCGCAGCTGCGCTCATATTTAACGCAACTATTTCCAGGACATCTGACTTAGTGGACAAGATCAGAGCAGTGCGCTTCGCTGGGAGTGTCAGGGCGCCGTGATAAGGCCACGACAAAGGCTTTGTATAAGGGGCCTCGTCCGTAACGCATTATATGCTTGCGTAAAAGTATGCACAAGCCGAACCCACGATGATTGTGATGCCGAGATTGTCAATTTGTAGACCCTTTGTCATAGCCTTGATTATCACCTGGTTCTACCGTTGCCATGGTGATGATTGATAGCTACGAGATGCATGAATATACTTTTACCTGCGGAGGAGTAGAAGACGATATATGGGTTAAAGGCGGATGTTTGTCTTAGTCCGCTGTGAATTGGCTGGGAACGCCCCAAAAGGTGATCAATTCAGCGACGTGGTCTGACAAAAACGATGTATGTAGACTCACAAGCGACGAGAAAGACCAGACCGAGGCCGCCGGGAGCTTCCAGGGAAGTCCGCAAAGACAGTGTGAATGCATGTCAAAAAAGTCTAGTTTATTTATATCTTTAGTATATCATTCATTATTTGTGTCTGCGAGAGTTGTATTTCCTTTCCTATGTTATGTGTCTGGTAGTATCTATTAATTGACACTTCTTAGATCTAATATATACATAGTGGTAGGGCACGTACGGCAAATTCTTGACATGCGTGACAAATGGGTGCATGTAAACTTTCTGCATTCGACAATGCGGTGCACGTGGGGCCAATCTAGTGTCTGTCCTCGGTAATATTGCTCTTCATGGGCTGCAATCTTCTCGTAGACCCCCTCCAACTAAGAGAGCTGCGGCGTAAAAATTATAGGCGAGAGATGTACAGCGACCTTGCCGACAGTTGTGCCGTGGCAACGTGGTCGTGATACATACATGTGTGCATCTACTCTTGCCACCGCTGCTGTCAGCGACCGCGAGGGTATCAGTAAAGCCATCTTGCTTCCACATACGACGTGTGCATTTCGAGCTCCAATGTAGAGTGTTTTTTGATACGCTAGAGTTTGTTCAAGCCGTATACTCCAGATAGCCACTCACAATTATCAGGGTCACAATAATTACACTGAGGGTCGACGAGAACAGAGAAGAAAAATATGCACCTGGCAAGAGCGCATCGTTTCGATGTCAGACGTAAAGGCAACCGCGAACACCAACAAATTCCCACGCATCGAAGTACAAAACAAGCTGTTTGTCAGGCAATGGTTTGACAAGCTCTGTGCACTGCGCCAATACGCATTCTTTTTTGGTAAATCGGTGATAGATTTGAAAACGACCCCGAATCGTGGAACAAAGGACTTTAAATATAGTATGCAACTGTGCGATAATATGCAAAATTACGTGCTGCAGGGCATCGAACATTTCTACTAGTGCCTCCTGGAATCTTCGTGAGGCCTGTCACTCAGACTTGGAAAGGCATGCTGATACAGAAGAAGCGGCCCCAAGGACTCCAGAAAGCGAGGATCTTGTGAGAAAGCTTCCGTTAGCTCAAGCTGGATGAACCCATTTCCACAGTCCAAGACCGATACCCAGGGTTTGCCCACGACAAAGCCGTACATTTCGGTGTTGGTCAGGATGGGTTATGGTTCAGAGTTTACCGACTGCGCAGTCGCCGAGATCGTAAAGGAGTGGCCAAGGCTCACGATCTGGTTTCATCGAAGGCATTTTAATGTTGGCCTGACTATTTGTTTCTGCCATCCAACTTGCGACACAGTATGCCTAGTTCTGCTAGCTGTGTTATCTTAGCGTGCGCAGCACGCATCACTGTACTGGGATAGCAGTGTTACTATATTAGTGGTACCTGCACCGCTCGAGTTGCGTGTTACGGTGTAACTTGAGGTCTATGTGCTCAAATTTGGCACACAGGTGCCGTTCGGGGCCAAAAGCCAGCAAAAAATGGAGAAGAGCAATTGATTCATTTATCCCGGTAGTGGTGTTGCCTGCCTCGTTTGTTTGAGCCCCAAGTTCCAAATCTTTATCGTCGTCGCCATTGGACGTGTACCCTGAGTCCTCATTATCTGCCCTATAACCATCTTCCCTTTCAGAGAGAAGGTCAACGTCATGTATAATACCCGGTTAACGGGGTGAGAACACTCCTTCGTTGGCAATCGCACCAGAATTCGAAGGCGCTAAAGTATACTATGCTATGCGTCATGCTTCTGTTTCGGCAGGGGTAGCTGGAGCACTGCGGAAGAAAGAATAGCTGTTCCAAACTGTCCCGTCATAGGTGCCTGCAGTCCTTGTAACCACGCGCTTTGACTGCGGTTTACAGCCTCGTTGCCTTGACATTTCTCTACTAATCTTTCCCTCTCGCCCGTCGCTTAAACGAATGCTTTGCATGACGGCAATGGATACCATAAGCACACTTCTGCCAGAGGTCAAGCATTGGCATCGCAAATAAGTTATGATCCATATCGAAAGCTGACGCCCAGCTGACTACACTGGTTATCATATCCGAGTAGAAAACGGGCACAATATAATAGTAACTTCGATGTGATCAGCCATGTTTGGCGCTCCGTGAAATAAAATAATGTCTAACGTAACTTGGGCAGATAGTTTCGTGACCAGATGCCATAAGGCCGTTACAATCGGTGTATTCGAATAGATAGAAAGGATAAAATCTTTAATTTATTGCGAACAACTTTCTCTTCGATTAAATTTTATGCCGAGCCAAAAATCATATAAATATTGACCGCACACTTTTGCACATATCCGTCGACAACCGGCCCCTTTCAGAAGCTGGGCTTCTGCTTAGGAACGGCGGTAGCTGTCATAGACTTGCGCGTCTCCGGGCATCGTGCTGCTTCATGTCCCGGTTTGCTGCAAGCAAAACAATTAGTGTATCCAGCAGGCACAGAATCGAGAGGAGGCCCAAGGCCGTAGAGTCGCTTCTAAAAGGCGATTTAGACCGTGCACGATCCTTAACACGGTTGTAGTGCTCTCGGTGCTCACGCTTCTTTTCCCAGTGGCTCTTCTCGCGTTCACGACAACGTTCCTCGTCATAAGGTCCTGTTTTCGTGAAAATAGTGTTGGCAGTTGTATTTCTCACGAGCTGATAGTTTAAGTTGCTGCTTCGACTGGGGCTGCCGCCCCGCGACTGTTGACAAAGTCGTCAATGCACCCCTGCAAACGATCCTGTGTTACATCTGTGTCCGAGCAGTCACAGGCTGGAGAAACGTGTAAGGCACCGGTTCTAGCGGGAAATAGTCACCTGCTTGGATGCACATCTGGCGTATCCAGTCTATTGTGTCAGTTAAACAGTTTAGCTCATAAATAGTAGCCAACGACGGAGCAGAGTGGCTTTATCGACCCCCTTACTGTGGACGGCGAACTTTAAGCCATCATAAATGACCTGCCCGAACAAGAGATGAGATGCCGATAGGAAGATTAGTTTTTTAGAAATGTCATCAGTTGCTAGTGTCAAGAGCTGCATGATAGGGCTGGCACCTTTCTTGCTAGCGTATCTCAACACTACAACGACTTGCACTCTCATAGCTGGATCGCAAGGAAGGATCGGTGTGGCAAATAACTTAGTGTGATCAAGGACGTCTAGTCGGTCTGCAAGACAGGATATGCCCTCACGTGCTGCAGTGTCAGTCCCAGCCGTGACAGCGGAAACCACCTTCTCCGAGCCTCGACAATGCTAGCCTTATGCTGCTCTTCCGGCTCAACAGGAAAGTACGGGGTCGATGGAAGATATGGTGGCATGTGCCTCTGATGCGTCACTACCAAGAGCTTCCGGGCGAGGAATGATCGGAAGTCGACCACTTCGGCGTCATGAGCTGCTGCATCGATATCTACCCACTTGAATAAGGCAGCCACCAGGTCTGCTGAGACAGGCGACAGTAACGGATCGTCACAGATTTCATCTGGGCGTTCGTGTTCTGCAGGAATCGATGGATCGGAGGGTAGTACGCCAAGATGCGCATAAACGTGTAAGTAAACCAAGCGCTGGCTTTTGGCGGTAAGTTATGTCCAGCCGAGTCCCAAAATGCGTCACTGAAGAACATAAGCGTCATAGTGGCATGGACTCCTCCGCTTGAGCCTGTTCTATGCCTATCCAAGTGCTAGATTGTCAAGTTTGATGAAAACCGGCAAACATCAATGCCTTTGCCCGTAGCAGAGACCGGAGTAAGCGTAGGCATGCTAAACTAGAGTGTAGAAGTAATTACAGAACAAAAGTTGAATAGTTGTCCGCAAAGCAACAAATATTACTGACAATGTACGACGCTAAACGCAAACAAAAGTAAAAACCTTGAGAATTGTCAGCCTAGACTAAAACAATACTGTGCTGAGTTTGAATAGCCGAGCCACTCAGGTTCGTATATTTACTGTATCAGCGTTCATCTGAACCCGCGTGTGCGTCCGGGCAATAGGTCCACCTGGACTGTCACTGCCCAAGGGACATCTTACCGCCTAGAATCTGCCTAGAATTTATTACAAACCAGACAATCATAATATATCACTCCTCATCTCGTAGTCGCATACTGGTGACACTGTGTAATTGCATGGGATAGCAGTAGTATGTCGCATTCTAACGGGTGCCGTTTATTTCGCGATAGCAGTTTCAGCTTATGCAAGCAATCGGCGCTTCTGATACAGAAGGTAATAAGCATCGTACTTCTATATCGAACGCAGGAATTCAATACACGCTGGTATGGTGTTCGACTTTTTGTGCACAACGCACCGTAGCTCGAAAGGGGGAGGAATACCTCGGCTGGTGCGCCAGTAGTACTATGGACGAAGTATGATTTCTTCATTAGAACTTCACATTGTATTTAGTCCGCATGCCCTATCAGTGAACAACAGTCACGAAAATCAAGCTATTGATTATGATCAGTAAGGGCAACTTTCAGAGGACTTTGTTGTTGCACTATTTTGTACGCCATGTTTCCTGTCAGAATTGGTCTAATGGGCCCGTATTTCACTACCATCTATAGCATCCATATTTAATCATTCCTTGTAAATATTTGAGTGTGGCATCCAGCTTATTGCCAAAATTCGTCGCTATTTAACCAATCCACAATAGAATCCTTGTTCACACACGTGTAGAAATCTTCTTTGGCAGGCATCAGCCTTCGTTCGACATGCACACTCTCTGCTCGTGTGGTACTGCCTACCAGATTGTGTAGCACTATGACTAAGGCCTGGAATCTGTCGTCTGTTTCTTGGAGTCTCTCCCTCGCTTGCGTTTGTATAGCGGCTACATAGGAATTCAAAGAGCACACAAGTAAGTAATGCACATACATACGCATATGTTTTTGACAATCAAGTTAAAGTATTTAAAGACACTGATACTAGATCTTTCGAGATACTAATCGCGCACACAGAGAAAATGTTCGGGAGGGAGCAAGCCGTTGCGATCCTTATACTCGCAATACGGCAAACATAGCTGGGCAACGACCCAGCCACACTACTATTCTGTAAAGGGATACAGATAGATGCACATCTCCACTGCGAGAACAGCTTAAGCGTGAGTGTTCTGCCATGTGTACATGTTGCTAGGCAAGGCACATACCTGGAAGGTCACCAACAGCCACAACCTCAGGTTTATCCGTGATCTTAAACCGCTTCTTCGACGTACTCGACGGTGTGTGTTCCGTGCGCACTCGCAGCACGTACGTCTCCGCGACTGATTTGTTACCGAACATCTGGCTGGCCAGGTGACCCAGCAGGAACATAGAAGATATCTTCCACGCCTCGTAATCGCGGAAGTAGGTGTCTACACCTGTGGCCTGGTAGATGGCTTGGGCGTCCTTCTGTCGCTGGCTGCACTCTGTAGTGTGTAGCACGATGGCAATCAGGGCGCGTGATGTGTTAGTTGGGTGGTGAGGAGTTGTATGGCAGTGATTTGCTGTGCTTGGTGTGAACGATAAAGTGTATACTGGGGTCTAAGTGAAATTCCTTGGGACATTTAAGAGGGTCTAAATGGAATTCTTTGGGACATTTTAGAGGGTCTGAGTGGAATTCTTTGGGACATTTTAGAAGGTCTAAGTGGAATACTTTGGAACATTTTAGAGGGTCTAAGTGGAATTCTTTGGGACATTTTATAAGGTCTAAGTGGAATACTTTGGAACATTTTAGAGGGTCTAAGTGGAATTCTTTAGGACATTTTAAAGGGTCTAAGTGG